CTTGCTGACCGTGAGCACTTTCTCCGGGAGCCTTCCTGATGCCCAGCCTCTCCCAGACTGCCTCCGCGCTGCCCCACACGGCTTAGGGGGGCTCTTGTGTGCAGTGCCGACCAGCCTGCTGTGTACAGCCCTGCCTCTCCGGACCTGAAGCGGGGAGGGGCTCACCGCACATTCATGCCTTCCCTCCCTGGCTGTGCGTTCGACCCATGCGTGCTGGCACTCACTCCATGCTGGGCGACGTTGGGGACACACTGACGGCTGCAGACGGGGGTGGGCAGACACAGTCCAGTGGGTTGGCCCCTCACAACAGTGGGGTCCGCGGGACGTGGAGCGTGAGCAGGGACATGCAGGGCCGGGAGGTCTTGCTGGGCTCTGGACTGACCCACGAGGGTGCCCCGGGCGGGCAGAAGGAGCTGCAGGTGCAGAGATGCAGAGGAGGGATGAGCAGAAGGAAATGGGGGAAGCACACAGGGGTCCTCTTGCCTGAAGTCAGAGTGCGAGGTGCAGGGCTGGGGACAGTGACCGGTGGGGAGGGGAGGCTGAAGCCAAAGCCCTGGGATGGCGAGGAGTCCAGGCCTTCCCGGGGGGGCCCTCGGGATCCATGGGGTATAGTTCAAGCAGGACCACTTTCTAGAAAGTTCATTCTGGAAGCCAATAAGAAGGCTATAGGAGGGCCTGGGAATATGTGCAGGGGTGCAGGGGTGCAGGGGGCCAGGTGAGAGGTCATGAGGGAGCCCTGACCCTGCCGCTCAGCAGATGCTGGAGGCTCCATGTGCAGGGGCACCCTGAGCAGGAGGGTGGGGGTCTTTCTCTCAGCCCTGCTTCCAGGGTGGCTGGTAGAGCCCAGGGCATCAGCTCTGCCCTCCAGGCTGCCACGGTGGGGAAGGTGCCTAGCGCCTTCCTCCCCAAGGCCCCGGCTGCCCAAATGCTCCCCCCACTTCCGTGAGGCAGGTGTGTGGTGGAAATGCTTCTCTCCAACCCGGGGGGGGGGGGCTGGTTTGTTGGAAGTGGGTGGGGAGGGGAAACCGCATCTGTGGGGAGGAGACGGGGCCCTGCCCTGCGTTCCGCCCCCTGCACGGCCCCTCCTGTCTGCTGGGGCAGGGGTGCAGCCAAGTGGGGTCTCCTTGGGTAGCAAGAGCCGAGCTGGTGCATACCTGCTTTGTCGTCCTCCTCTGAGGAGCCTGCCTGGCAGGAAGGGCAGAAGCCGGGGCTCAGCCCTGCCGGGGAAGAGGGAGGGCTCCAGGCTTTACCTCCTCCTGCAGCCGGTTCCTTCCTGCCCCGTGGTCGGATCCGTGGCCTCTCCAGCCCCCTTGACGCCCAGCTCAGGCTTCACCACAGGAGACACCAGCATCAGGCAGCCCAGCCTCCCTGGGCACACCCCCTCCCCCGGAGGAAGCACCGTCCACACTGCCTGAGCCATCCCAGGAGCCCCCACGGGGCAAGGGTCACGGGACGAGCCCCTGGCAGACCGGGGCATCCAGAGGGGCCAGATGTAGACATTGGGTACCGACTTTATCCTTCTGAGCTGAATCTCGGTGATCAAGCGTGTGGGGACGCAGTAGGCAAGCCATAAAGCCATGGTCCTGGGGCTGGCTCTGCCTTCCCGCCTGACCTCCCTCCTCCCAGCCGACCCACATGTGTCCTGGGGGCACTGGCATTGCAGAGACCCCCCCTCCTGGCTTCCTCCAGCTCTGCGCCCCTGCTCCCCAGCCTCAGGCTTCCGCGGCCCTGCTCCACCTCCCTACCTGTCATTACAGCCACTGAGATCCTGCCCGGGATACAAGGCCTGCTCCATTTCTGGTAATGAAAGTGTTTTATGGTGTCAGTGGCTCAGAAACTGTCTAGGCGAGTCACCCCTAGGGCCTGGCGTGAGAACGGACGGTCATGAGTCAGACCGGGCCTGTCCCTCAGCTACGTGCCCTCACACGTAGTAGGTGCCCGTGGGACACCCCTGCATGTGTGCTGTGCTCAGGGCTTGTGGCCAAAGCTCTGAAGGGCCTTGGGTTGGGGGCCAGTGTTCCCAGATCTGAATAATTTTATCTTTAAATCTGTGTTTTGTAAGTGCAGCCAGGTGGGATGGGGAGAGAGTGTGCACTGGGGCTGCCTCCTGCCCCCTCCGTCTCCCTGGATGTCTCCTCCCCTGCACCTGCCCACGGGGCCTGGGTGGGGGAGGGCTGGGGTCAGGGGCACGTTCCCCAGGGCGTCTCAGGGCAGAGCAGCCGTCCAAAGTATTGGCTTTGGGCTTTGCCTCTCCAGGGCTCGGGTTCCTCCCCGGGAAATGGGCGTCCCTCCCAGGCCAGGCTCCGCCACAGCCCTGCTCTTCCTTGGACGCGTCCCTGGGGCCCCTGGGTGGGAATGAGTCCCCCCTCAGCCTCCCACATCCCCCCCAGCCCCTCCATGCTGGGCAGGTGGAAGGTGTTCAGCACAGGAGGGTCTTAATGTCCACGCTGGGCCCCGTGTCTCTGGGAGGTGGGAGCTGACTTCCCCGTGGGCCTGTTGGGGCTCAGACGGGACGCTGGTCTCGGCCTGACCTGTGGGCCTGGCGGTGGTTTTCCTCGCTTCCGCGGCATCTGCGGGCTCAGCATGGGGAAGCCGCTGCCGTGGCCGCCTCATCATGCTGCAAGCGGGCTCCTCTGTGAGGCCAGGCCCCTGCGCTCGTCTGCACCTCCCTTGCACCCGGGCTCTGGCCTGACCCGCACACAGCAGTGACCATGACTCTGTCCATTGTCCTCTGCCCGCGGTCCTGACGGACACGGGGACACGTCCTGCCCCAGTCGCTGGGAGTCGGGAAGCAGATAGGACCCACTTGCTGAGTGCTCGCCGTGCGCCCGGCTGTGTGCTCAGGGCTCTCCACGCATGAATGCCCCCCGAGGTGGGCAGCACCGGCTCCCCAGGTTATCGGGCAGAGACTGAGGCATGCAGAGTGACCTGCCCAGGGGCCGCACACTAGCACAGGAGGGCCCAGTGTCTGCATACAGGTGTTTGCACCTGAGTGTGCACAGGGACCCGAGAGCTTGGGCCACCGTGCTAGAACAAGGCCTGGAGAGGGAGGGTGACCTGCCTTAGGTCACACAGCAAGAGCGAGTCAGTGGGAGCCCACCCCCAGCTCTGCGGCTCCCCTCTCTGGTCTTGGCAGCCTCTGTGAGCACTCAGGTCTGGGCCTCAGTGGGGAGGGAGGTGGTCGACTGGGACTCCTGAGCTGCAGAGGAGGCCCTGGCGGGCAGGGGGAGGGGCTGCGGGTGCTCTGGGGCGCTTCACTCATGGGGAGGCAGTTCCAGGCTTCCGGGGAGGCAGTTCCAGGCTTCCGGGGAGGCAGCTCCGGGCTGCCATCAGCCCCTGGATGGTTGGCGGGAGGTGCGGGGTTTCCCAGCTGAGCGTCCTTGCGTTCTGCAGGGCAGGGAAGAGTCACTTTGCCTGGGAAGGGTGTTCTGGACGTTGAACCACGCCTTCGAGAACGGGGGTCCTTGGGGATGCGGCAGACACCTTTGCTTCAGGGAACTCAGACCTGCTCAGGAGGCTGCGATCTGTGGGCACGGTCCTGCCCCGGGGTGCCACCTCGCTCCCCAGACCCTGGTCGGGCCACTTCTCTGCCGTCCCTCAGCTGGTCTGGACGCAGAGAGGGCAGAGCCGAGGGCCGTTCAGCTGGTGGGCTAGATGTGAGTGTTGAGGCCCCACATGTGTCGTGCACGGGGCCCTGACCGCCTGGGCCCCCGTGGGCTGGGGCCTGGCCGGCTGGGTCTGGGGGCTCTGGGGGCTTCCGGCTTGGTCTCCTTTCTGAGCAGTCCCATGGAGGAGCAGTGGGTTCGAGGGAGGGAGCTGGCCTCTGCTGACCCTGGCTCTGTGCTGGCCATTGGGGCGGGAGAAGGCTGAGCAGGCACCCAGGGGCCGCTTTCCCGAGAGGCTTGCTTGCCAGGCTCAAACGGCGATGAAGGGGAGCCACTGCGGGCCCGCAGGCGGGAGAGTGGCCTGGGCAGAGTGTGCGTCCAGGCGTGAGTCTGGTGACCGGAGGCGGAGAGCTCAGCCGGGCGATAGCAGGGGTCCCGGGGGCTGTGTGGGCTGGGGCCCACCCTTCCCTGCTGTGGACCCGGACTTCCCCTCCGTGGCTGTGTGATTTCAAGGAAGTCACTAAAAATGCACAAGGAGCTTCAACCCCAGAGATGTCGGTTGTGGGCATAAGTACGATGTGGCGGGATTTCGCATCTTCTCTCCAGCTCGGTCGTTTTAAAGTCAGCCGTGATCTGTCCCCTGCAGAACGTTCCTCTCATGCCTTGGGAGGATGTTCACGGGTGTTGTGACTTGGTTGGGGAATCGCTTATGCTTGAATGTGAGGTACAGAATGCGTATTTTGTGCTTCGTTGTGGTCTGCGATGCCTTCCGGGAGGCAGCTCCGGAACAAGGGACAGGGGCCCCGCCCCGCCCCGCGGATGTGACCTCGGCAGGCCCCAGCGATGCGTTTGGAAGAGCCTGGAAGGACGGGCGTGAGGGCATCGCCAGCTTTCTCTCCGAGACAGGATCATGAGATAATTTCTTCCTTCTTTATGTCTGTTAGTGTTTCCCACATTGTCAATGAGGAGTTTCTGTGACTTTCATAATTGCCGAGAATGGCTTCTCCTGGAAGGGGAGGCTATTTCCATGGTCCACGGAGCTCGGCTGGAGTCGCGCACATGGGGAGCGTGTGCGGCTGAGAAGCACCGTGCCAGGCGTGGGGACACCGGTGGACACCGTGGGGCCAGACCCCACAGGACTTGGGGACTGACTGTGTGGGGATGGGGGGAAGGGCCGGCAGCCCGCCAGGCTGGGGGCAGAGGTAGTGCCTTGGCTGGGGAGGTGGGCAGAGGCCAGGCCCCATGATCCTGGCTCCCTGTGTTGTGGTGCATGAGGGGTGGGAGACCCCTCCACCCACCTCCAGCTCCGGGAAGGGGCCGGCGGCAGCCCCACACGGCCCCCAGCGTCCACGACAGTGATGGGAGTCCGCTCATGTGTCTTCTGTTTCTCTGCAGGAGACGGGAGCACCCTGTGCACCTCCAGCGCCCTCCAGGAGAAGCAGCGTGAGTTAAGCCTGACCCCCAGGATGCTTGTCTCTCCCCGGTGGGTCCAGCCTCCTTGGGCCCCGGGCCCCTCCCTGCCCTGTGAGCTGAGCTTGGGGTCCCGAGTTCCCACCTGCCAGGCAGCTCGGGGCAGGTGGGCCAGGAGGCTGAGCCCAGCACAGCAGATGGGACCCCGCGAAGCCTCATGTGTCGTTTGCCTGTGGACAGAGGCAGGACGGGAACGGGGTGCAAGGCCTTTGAGCTTCTGAGACAAGGTTCTTTGGGTGACACAGACACTGACCCTCCCCGCCTGCCCCCAAGTCCTCCTTGACCTTCACCGTCCGTCCAATGGGGCTTCTCGAGGTTTCCCGCAGGGCCTGACCCAGGGACACTTGGGAGAGTGTCCGTGGGTGACACCATGATCTGAGGACATCCTCCCTGGACGCTTGGGTGGACTTGGTGGGCCGTCTCAGCCACGTGTCCGCTGTTGGCAGTATTGAGATTCTCAGCAGGCTGGGGTTGGGGAGGGTCAAGGTGCAAGTTGGGGCTCAGAACCCCTGTCTTCTCTCTCCTGCTGTTTGGATCTGTGGTTGCAGCTTTGGGGGCTCAGCCCACGCTGCCTACCCACCCCCCAGGCTCGTCCATCCCTCAGCTTCAGAAGGGTGTCTGCATTCCCACGGCAGGGGCCAGTGCAGAGGAGTTGTTCTGCATGCAGGGGCAGGTGTGGACAAGGCCCGTCAGGGGCTGGGAGGCCCGGGCACCTCTGTCAGGGGCACCCCCAAAGCTCAGGCCACAAGTGTGTGGGGCTCAGCATGAGCGGGGCTGCGTCCGAATGTGCACCCAGAGTTTAGCCTACAGAGGTGGCTGAGTGAAGACCTGGAGAGATCAATACATTCACATTTCCCAAGAGGAAGGGCCACAGGGAAGTGCCAGGTTTGGCCCGGGCCCGGGGCGGGGGTGGAGTGCAGGGGTGCACGGCCCCCGGGTCAGATGGAGCATGGCGGGTGCACAGCCCTGGAGGGGGGAATGGATGGAGCCTGGGCGTACATAGCCTGGAGCCCAGGTAGTGTTTTCCACAGCAAAGGTGGCAATGGCTTAGGAGCAGCAACTCTGAGAAATGGGGGGGGTGTCAGCAGTCTGTCCTGGGGGGATTCAGGGCAGGGGAGGGTTGGCTCGTGCGTGAAGGAGGTGGTTGGACCACGAGATTGGGTGTTTGCAGGTGGAAGGCTCGTTCATCCCCTGGAGGGCATCTCTCCCGGCAGGTCCCGCCCGCCCCCAGATGTCAGACCTCCCATCGCTGTGGGGGGGGGTTGGCCACGTCCCTCAGCAAGGGAGGGAGGGCCCGCCTCAGAGGGAAAGCAGCAGGGCTGACCCCACGTCTGCCGCTTCTGGACCGGGCTAAAAAAAACGTGTGTTTAAGAGGAAGCGAAGTCTCTCTGTTTTTAAACCGTGGTTATAGATCTTCGTCAGAATTCTGTGCTGAAGGCTGTCCCGCGAGTCTGCGCCTTCAGGATCCTCTTATTCAGGAAGGACGCGCCGGAACGTGGTGGCGGGGCCGGTGGGCTGAGTCTAGTGCCAGCCTTTGGACGGCGAGACCTACAGCACAGAACGCCCTCCCCGGGCACGCGGCCCCTTGGTGGTGCTGCCATTTACCCGCTGTGCCGCGCCGTCCATGGAGCTTGGCGCTCGGGCACTCTTGCTTTTGAAATGACGGTGGTCGTCCGTGGTGCTTTGTTTGCTCGTGATCCAGAATCGGCAGAGTGCAAGTCCGTGACGGTCGTGATGTGCTTTCCTGGCCGCGGCCTTCTTCCCCGAGCGTGGTCTTCCCGATTGTTTCTACTCGGTTTTTGAAACCTCACTAGAAATAAAGTGGGGGCTGGGACGAGTTACCCTGGGTCAGGAATCAGAAAGTCCTGGGGCTGGTGCCACAGCCTCTGAGCTGGAAGGGAGCTGGGCCTGGGTTTGAGGCCTGTTCCTTCATTCCGTGCTGGGCCGCTCCGGGCGAGCTCCCTAACGTCTCCAAGCCTCCATTTTCTCCGTTGTGGAGAGATGACCATAAGGCCTACTTCCCAGGGTTGCTGAGGGGCGGAGTGGCCACACCTCCCACGCGGGACGCATTCACGGTTCCCGCATGTGGTTGGCTTTCCGACGAGCCTGGCCACGGTCACGCCTGGTTGCAGGTGCGGGGATGAATCTCAGGACCGCACGCAGCTCTGTCTTTCGTGGGCTCTGAGGGTCCCGTGGCCGCTCAGCTGTCCCTGCTCAGAGCTGTGTCCTGGGCCAGCTCCCCTGTGCGGGCATGAGGCGTCCTCCCTCCTCCTCGGGGGCCACACCCACCTTCATCCTGCAGCTGCAGATGGCCCCGCAGCCCGCGGCCTCTGCCTGGGCCCGTTATTTGGAACTAGATTGTTCCGTTCAGGGAACCTAGGGAGCCTGGGGGGTCCGAGGACAGGGGGTCCGAGGACAGGGGGCCTGGGACAGGGGTCCGGGACGCGTGCACGTGGAGTTTCAGAGCCCCGTTAGCGTGGACGCTCTAGCGCTCTCTGGTTTCCGTCGCTGTCTGTGCCTCCTGGTCCCGTCTGTCGGCCGAGTTCTCGCTGCTCCAAGCCCAGCAAACACCCACAGCTTCCGGCACGGCTGACCTGGCACGGGATGCAGGGGCCGCGACTCATCGCTGCTCCCCCAGCTTCGTTCCCGTTCCTCCGTCCAAAGTGAAGGCGCCTTTTCCACAAACTCAAGCCAGGAACCTAGAGGTCCTGCTCGACTTCTGACTCTCTCCCAGACCCGCCGCCCTCCACGCTGCCCTCCACGGGCCTCCACGCCACCCTCTATGCGGGCCTCCATGCTGCCCTCCGTGCCGCCCTCCACGCGGGCCTCCTGGCCTCCCGGCCTCCCCCTGGCAGCCCTTCCTGACGGAGGCAGACCACCCGCCATCCTCCCCAGCACGACCTTGCGGCCACCCTTCCCACCGGCCCTCCCCATCCTTCCCACTCCCACTCCTGGAAGGAGCGCACAGACGCTCAGCGGCTTCCCCAGGAGCTCGCTGGGAAGTTGGAGCGTTTGGTGCGTCCCCGTGGAGAGGCTATAGGCGACGCGGTGGGACTCTGAACTTACCCTTGTCCCCGGACCAAGATGCGACCGTAGACTGAGCGCCAGTCCTGGTTCCTTCTGACCCGCGGACTCCGTCCCAGTCAAGCCTCCGCCCTGGCCTCCAGCGGAGCCCCGCTTGGTCTCGGGCTGTGTCCTGACTGAGCCTGGCTCCGTGGTCTCATCACCTGTGGAACCTGTGTGGCCGTCCAGCACCACCCACCCCCACTGTGTGTGGGCATGACCTCACGTCCCACTGCCTGGGGCCTGGGGCCAGCAGCCAGACCAGTAGCTCAGATACCTGGACCACCACCAAGGGCTTCCCCTCTGGTGTGCCCGTGGCTGCCCTCCCTACTGGACTCCCACCCTGCAGAGCCTGGAGCCCCCTGCCCGCGGCCGCCCTCCCCCACGGCCCCCCCGCCTGTGCTGAGCCTGGAGCCCCCTGCCCGCGTCCACCCTCCCCCCCCCCCCACCCCGGGTAACGTGTCTTTTCCTGGCTGTGTGGGCAGCTTGCTGAGCTCAGCTGCAGACAGGCTATATTTAGCCGGCTTTACTGAGCTCAGGGTGGCAGACGGCCGCCTGGGGAGCGTTCCTCTTGCCTGTGTGCACGTCTGTGCTCGACAAGGCCCATTGTGTGTGTGCCGAGGCGTGTGCGCGTGCGTGTGAGTGCACGAGGATGCGTGTGTGTCCATGCGAGTCTGTGCAGCATCTGCGCTTTGCTGGGGACGTCCTCAGCTTCTGACACTTGCAGGGTCTAAAGCGGGAACAAGATATTTGTTCACTCATGTGTTTGAAAAATATTTCACGAGCATCTTTTAGATGCCAGCGTCTGGGCGGTCTTTGGAGGTAAAATGGAGCACAAGCAAACCCTGCAGGACCTCACGGCCTGGGGATGGAGGAAATGCCAGGTCAAGTGACCATGAAGCCAGAAGTCTGAGGACTCGTCCCGGAAGAGAGAGCCGCAGTGCTTTTGGGAGGAGAGCAAGGATGGACGCCCCCAGGGGCAGGACCCCTGAGGTTTCAGGAGGGAATATTTGGACACAGTAGCATGAAGAAGAGAACGTGCAAAGGCCCTGTGGTGAGAGGGAGAAGGTTTGAAAACCATTCTATGGCCTGGTGCTTAAGCCCAGAGGAGAAGCTGGTGTGGTAACATAGCACAGGGTTTTGTAGAGTAGGTAGAATCTAGCCCGTGACTTGGTCAGGGTTCCAGCGGAGAAGGAAGGTCTGTGCGGATGCGGGGCTGGAGGAGGGCCCAGTGAAAGGACCGCATTCTCAGGTTTAGAGGAACTCGTGGGCACAGGACCAGGCCTGGGCGGCTCCCAGCCCTGCAGGTCGCAGCCAAGAGCCCCACCCCGTGGCGCTGGCACGTGGGAGCCCCAGCCCTGTAGTCCCGCGTGTGCGTCCCGCTCTGCAGCCCCTGGCCGGTGGTCCAGGCCCCTCAGGGCACCCCCCACTGGCCTCAGCCTGGGCTGGGGGCTGGGGTCTCTTTTCAGCCCGAGAGAATCCCTTTCCTCAAATCTTTTTCTCCTGGGAACAAAAGAGCTTCTGGAAACAAAAACCAGGAAGCACAGCCACAAGCCTCCCCAAAGGCAAAGAAACCCAAGCAGGGAGAAAACAGAAATTAGTATTTCTGAAAGGAAGTCAGCCAGCTCCACGGGCCCTGAGAAAAGTCTCATTTTAACCTGACTTCTGAGTGGGCAGCGCCCGGCGACCATGGGAATTCTAAAAGGATGAAGGTGACGCGCCCTCCTCCCGTCCCGCGGCGGTGGTGGCTGGACATACTCCCTGCACATGCGGACGTCTCCATAAATACCCACTTGTGTGCATTTTTAGGCACGTCGCACGCAGCGCCTTCTGCCCCCTGCTCCTCGCGGGCGATCATCACCTGCCGGGGTTCTTAGCTTCTCAGGGTGTTTGGTGGCGTGTCCTGCCTC